ACTGGGTCGTCCACTACGTGTTTTACGTGTCACTGTCCACTGTAATCGATCGATAAGTACGCTGCTCTCTAATTTTCCAGTCAAGGTCACAACAATTAGCACAGGGTAAAAATCGGCCGCAACTTAAAGTCATAACACCAACTAAAAGTTCACAAGGCATGTATGAAGAATTATCATCTTTAATTAACAAGTCGCAGCATTCTCGAGTCGACAGTTCGCGTCCAGTAATCCCCAATATTGAGACTTCAGTGGGTGTTACCACAACATTAGGATCCAAAGATTTCAAGTTCTTGAATGAAATAATGGACTCCATACTGCTTGTGTCAATAGTAATGTCACGAAATGAACCAAGATATATATATATATATATATATATATATTATCACCTTAGTATATGAACATTGCTCTTCGAAATGGTGGATAAAGACAAATGGTCATTACGGACACCCTGAATAATAGGATCTAAATTAAAAGCTTTAGTATTACTTGCAGAAAAATCAAGATAACATTTGCATACTGACTAAATTAGTCATATCTTACCACATTTAAAACATTTAGCAATACGAAATGAACATGAAATACTTGAATGAAATTTTCCACAGAGTAAGCATTTGCCAAATACGTGCTCACAGTTGTGGTCTGCTTTGCAACTCCTTGTTGAATCGCCTTCCATATTTTCACGACAATAGGAATCACTATTAAGCAAACGCAAGTTTGATTGACCATGACAGTGTACTTCATCATCACGACTGAGCAAAGTATTAGAAATTCTCACCGACTGGTTATCAAGTTCATTCACCGTCACATAGTTGACACATGCAGTTCTATCATCTTGGAAAGAACAGTTCGGCATTTTAACAGCACTCTTTCCAGGTATTGTGTCCTGGGTCTTGCAATCAACAGAATGAAAGATTCAAAAGACACACAGCTTCGAGATCATGAGGATGGATTGCGTAAGAATCGGTCGTGCTCAGACCGAATCGCGGGAACATTGACCATTGGTGAAAATTAAACTAATCTAAACTCGTAATTATACATCAACTTCCTTGACTATGAGAAAGCATTTGACAACGTGGATAGGAGAAACTCATGGAATTCCCTTTCACATTGTAATGCTGTAAATCGCCAACGTAGGCGATCTGTGTCGGTGATTAGGTGCCTCTTTGAGTTGGATGGGAATGGCATGACCAATCACCTTTGTTGAAGTCATGCCTCACAGACAATATCTAACGTAGATTACACTTTCATCGTATCCAGGCGCCATGGATACTTTGATGACTGTATAACTAAAACATAACGTCATGGTAGAAATTTGTTGGTAAGAATAGACACAAGAACGAATTGCGATTACAGTTGCATGGACCAGGCCATGATGTAGAACTGACTGGTGCGCGTCAGTTGTCTTTGGCCTTGATGAGGTTCGATAGACTGGTCGACATTCAGTGACCCCATTATTGAACGACTTGGCTAGGGCCAAGTGATATTTCATGACCCTACAGAGTAACTTAGAAGATTGCCAATATCGTGAGGAGCTTACACGATGGACCACAGTGAAGATTCATTCATAGAGGACAGCTGGTAGATGCATTCCAAGTGGGAACTGGTGTCAGACAAGGCCGCTTACTTTCAACCTTTCTCTTCTTGCTGTTGAATGAAATGTAAACATCGGTTAACACCAGCGAATTCACACTTGATGAGCAAGCTCCGAAAGCGGTACAAAACTTTTACGTATGTGGTCAGCATCCTTGAGGAACAAGGAGATCTGATACAGATGTGAAGTTACGAATTAGCAAAGTAAGGCCAGGATTCTTACAGTTGAAAAATGTATCGAGCTAAAAACAACTATCAATCAATATCACAGTGAGGATCCTTAATACGAACGTCAAGATGGTTCTACTGTACGGAGCTACAACTACTGTGCCATTACAGGGTTCTTTCGTAAAATGTGAAGACCATACATTAAATACTTCATTTGCAAATCCTCCATCAATTGTCTTTTATGACTCTTGCAATTCTGAATTACTTTATGCTTCCCTCTCTGTTTTCTTCAGTTTAATCTCCTTAGCCTTCAGTTACCAGGCATTCCATTTCAGATTGGTGTTACTTTTTAAGAATCTTATGAAGATTCCTCAGAAGGTAAATTAATAAGAAAAGAGTCAAATCTACATAGGTAAATAATACGACCTCCATTTATATCGTTAGTTTTGAGTCATAATAATAGAAAGTTTATAAGATTGACATTTTTGTCATCTCACTAGCTATTGTACATAGATTAATCTCAGCGGACTTATAGGAGATTTCATGATAGTTAGTGTGCTTGGTTGGAGAGATTATTTTTATGATAAATGTAAAACATACTCTTGTTTTTCGATTAAATGAATGTACAAAGGGTGTAGGTTCTCACATTACCAACACGATGATCAGTTTAATCTGATAGGCTGATTCACATTAAACTGATTGTGGATGTTTATGCACCACTAAGGATAAATTTTAAGTGTATGACCACATATATTAAAAAAATTGTGATCTGTTTGAGTGCTATTGTAATATGTGCTCAGTTTATCTATGGTCACACTTTTTCCAACTAAAATAACTATTTAATCGTTTGTAAGTCTGGTTAGTTGAATTCCACGAGAAGCATTTTGATTGGATGTGGAATTCTTATGAAATTTATGATTTTAAAGTCAGATATTTTCAAAAATTTTCCGGAAACCATTTCACTGGTGTTTAACAATAAATTTTCTTAAGCTACATCGATACATAATGAGTTGAAATCACAGTGTTAATAGATAACTCCATACTAACCAAATATTTTAGTCACACCATATAATAAACAATAAAGTGTAGTAAAAGGTCAAATATTGATCAATAAATTAATAATGTAGAAGTAGAATACTATGAAGAGTATAATATGTGAAATGATTTAGGTTGCAACTTTCAAGAAACTAGTATTATTTGTTATCAACTGAGTTTCTAACACAATCAGTTCATTGAATTGTTAAACTGATCATTTACGAATTATGTTTATAAGACATAATGCAAACTAGTATTCCTTAAATATGAGCAAACATTCTGACTGTACTTTCACTTGACTAATTACAATGTCATAATGATAATGACCAGAAAATATAGATTACCTACAGGATGAAACTCTCACGACTTCTGCATCAACATGTACAATATTGGCAATACTGTGCGGAAAAACTAAACCATACGTTCAGTCATCATAGACTCTTGCATATTTGTATTAGGATATATTTTTTTAGTCCTTAATCAAGATTGAAATAAAAAGTTAACGTCTGTTCTGTTAACACACGTTGTAAAGTTCGTAAGCTTGAACACCTTCGTCTAAGTTGTTGATCACGCCACTTAGTTCTTCCAAATTTGTTGAGATAACATCCTCCTGTCACGATCCCTAAAAGGCTTCTTTTACTTATTGCTCGTTTGGAGAAATGTAAGAACGGAATAATCGTTGCGAGAGTTTCTCGACTGAGGAAGGCGAAACAACCTGGCATTGCCATGAAATTCGTGCTGTGAGTGCAACAATTTTACAAAAAAATAAGTATTAGTTGTTTGTTTTATAGGTTCCATCTAAACGGAAAGCATAAAGGTAACGATACGTTAGGTTCCGTTGCCAAATAATTATTACTGCAACTTATTACCTCTATCTGGTCTATATTCGCAGCATGTACACAAGTGGTTACTGTAATTTAGGTGTTAGATGAGTAAAATTACATCAGGATATGAATCTTCTAAACCAATGAATATGAAATTAGAAATTACTGCAAGTGAACAAAATTATTCAAGGGAGCGGAAACTAATGATTATTTATGTCATAGTACTGAACATTCTACTGGTATGACGCAACATTAACTCCAATTGTTTGCTGAAGAATCCTAACCACTTTTTTTAAAATTGTTTGCAATCAGTATTCTTAATCTGCCATAGATAATATATGCTTCCGAAATACATTGGTGAATATATCCGTATGCATTGTTATTTGTAATATAAAGATGTAAATATGAGTGAACAACCAAAGATAATGAAGTAACAAATCGATAGTAATAACAATTTATGATAAAGTATCAATTGTTTATTTATTCTTTACACATTTTTACGTTTATCATAGTTGGCACTTAGAATTTTACAACCATGAACTAATTTTCGTATTACCGCATATTCAGTACCTGATCTGTAGATTTACATAATAAGCTCAAATGTGTTTTTATAATGTTACTTGTGCTTGCAGAGATCATACTAGCCTCACACTACTTTTTTCAACAACCTCTTTGAGTATTAACTTTAACAGATTGAATATCAATAATTTAATTTTACAACAATTTGTCATCACTGGAGTAAAACAGTTCTATCAGAACCATCTACCAAGCCAAATAAATCGATATCACAAGGCGTTCAAAACAAAATCAAATGCACAACTGAAAATTCAGTAGTTCAACAATACAGATTCATATTTATTCAACCACGGTCATCGAATGCTTCCCAATTTTTTTCTACTACAAAAACTATTTTCTTCTTCACATTTTCACGTCTACTCAGTGAACAACCAATAATTGATCATTATCCATTTGACAAAAGACTACTACTATTATTGTGGAGTATGCTACTTATATCGACATAAGTAGTATATAACACCAATCAGAAGTGGAATATGTCAGATAAACAAATATGCGATTCAATCCACATATAAAATTTGATAATATTCACTTAAAATAAGATGAGAGAAAAAGTAAATCTATACATGATTAAAATGAAAACAATGATATTTAACAATTTTATTTTTTCCGGGAAACAAGTAAAAAAGAAAATGGAAAATAAATGTAATTAGTATGTATCTGTTTGATGATGATAGTTTGTAAATAATAGCAAATTGAAAAGAGGTTCAGATCTATGTTGTTCAAATATTTATTCTCTTATGATTAAAATAATTTGTTAAACATTTCTATGTATATTTCATTTGTTTAAGAATTTGTGCCTTTTTTTTAACTGTACTGTGTGAACGACGAAAAAACGCTGTCTTCCTCTACTTTCATTCGACCAAAACATATGATCTGTAATAATTGAAATGAAAAGATAATGTCTATATATGATACAAATTTCTATTATTCGACGCACACAGACAAATATATAGAGAGCAAAAAAATTACAAAGCAATTAAAGATAGATGAATTAACTGACAACTAGTAACGAATAATGTACTCCAAATTTGATTGTTGGCCGTTCATTACTACTAATATTCAGATAACTCGAAATTACACAATTGATTTGTGCTTCTTGTTAGATGACTTAGATTAGCATACAAATGGCTTGACAATGAATACTAGCTGATGAGGGATTATCGCAAATAACCTACTCTTCTAAATTGGTCGGCTATTAATTACGGCGGTAACATTTTCTTCAGATGTTTATGCTGACATACAAATATATATGTAAAGTAACTCCGAGTATTTTTTTCCATAAAAAAGTCACTAACTTCAAGTCTGAGCCATGTTGGTAGATGCAGACTACTTGATTGGGGTCCGCGTGACTATCGTAACCAATGGTTGGAGACTCTGGGTGACATGGCTCAGAATCGACCACAATGGCGTATGTGTATACACTCTTTGTCTTCCTTTAAACTGAGATTAAAATCGCTTCATATGTTTCTCTCTACGAACTAATTATTTCTTCCTGTACTATGTCCTTATTTGCAATCTTCCTTTTATATATTACCACAACTACCTTTATGAATCCGGTGCCCATCTTGTGTTAATGAGGTATGGCAACTTGGACAGATGCACATATGCTGCTGATCAAACGTTGTAGCTAACTGACTAATTTTTTCCCATAGAATGGAGCTTAAATTGTATCATGTTTTAATCAATTGAATATATATTTACATTTCAGTGAGTTTTTTTTTTCAATGAAAATGGGAAAATGAATATTCTGTATCTGAAACAGCAAATTATTACCTACGGAATCATTCAGTTAACTACATCATTAATTTATAAGGGAAATAAACAAAATAGATAATCATTAAGTAATTTTTCGTCAACTTACTCGGCCTCGATTATGTTGGTTTGTGTAATCTTGACGATAACGATGAAGAAGATTGCAAAACTCTTCATTTTTTAACGCTACATCGACATCATGAATAATTATGCCACAAATAAATGCTTGTTTCATTAGTAGAATTGATAAGTGCTCAACAAACAAATCTGTGTTGAAGAGGGACGTAAAACAATACAACTCATTTATTATTAGGTATATTTTGTTTACTTGAATGCATCACAACTTTTTGTGTTATGAAAGTTAGGATGTCCATTACTTAATGAGGAGAAAACGATTACAATCATCCTCTTTACGAAATATAATCTTTAATATGGATATATACTTTCATAGGTATATAAAACAATTGTGCATCCTTCAATAAATAAATTACTTCCTTTTACACACACAAACTGGTTAGATTCAATTTTATGAAGTGCTTGTTATTATTCATTCTAGAACAAACGTTCCTTCGTGTAGTTAGTGGCGTAGTGAACGCTGCTGACAAGGTTGTTTGAAAGTAGTATGTAGCGGAACGTGAAGTCGAATATGCGACGACTGTCAAATGAAGTGGAGGATTTCAGTGCATGGAAAGCACAGTGGGGACGAGATACTTGGAAACCCCACAAGAAGACAGTTCATATGTCAGAACACGCCGTAAAATGCAAGTGGAAGATTGAAGGCTATGTATAATGTATTGTATAAATACACACCTCTTGCCTAATGTCGTGTTTTACAGTAGGAGATATGAGTGATGCTTTAAATCTATATTATAACCTGCCTGAAGTTTTTCACATTCATGAGCTGAATCGATTACCTTTTTTACAGCGTTTATCTGTGATATCTCTAAGGAACAGTTAACCAGCTGCACGATGCACAATATTTATCACGTCAGACTTGTGAGAGAGTAACTGTAGAGCTCCATGTAGGACTAGATTATTATAAATTTTTACTCGTTAGCTGTACATATGAAATTAGATAGATAGACTGTTTTCACCGAAAGAGTTTCGATTTGTATTTGCACTGATAAATGCTTATTCGCAATATCATTTTTTCCATTTTTTATATAAACAAACACGATCATAGTGATATATCCCATATATAATGGAGATTGGAGAAAAACTACGGTTGGAAGAGATGGATTGTACTATATTACACAATTAAAGTTCTATCATGAGTAATTTCTATATCGCACTTAGATTTGTTCAGCCTTTAGAATTGTCCTTTAGATGTACCGTTTTACATGAGACAAAGTGAGTATACTAATTTTTGCATTGAGTGAAGGCTGTCTCCATCGACTACACACTCTAATTAGACTCGAGTCAAAGAACTAAAATGCAGACGTTCACCCAAACCCGTATGAGTAAAGAAACTATAATTGACCTTGTATAGTTTGAAACAACTGTTGCAAATACTGAATATGAAGTGAATGGTTTCGACAAAATCAATAGGACAAGTGTACTCTCGTGAATAATTATAAATTCAGTGTTGACTGGATTCTAAATTGTGGAAGTATTTTGTACAATTCCACTTAACTAACATCTTTAATACGGATTGAAATTTATTCAAGTAAATAAATACTATGATGAGATAAAACATAAATATGGATTTTCTATGTATGAATATCTAGAAGTTTGTAGTCACAGATAATGAATAATAGATTTTTATCAGTTTTATTTTTTCAACTTTTTGTAAGATATTTGCTGATATTGTGAAAAAAAGGAATTGTACTTGTTGGCAATCATAAGATATCTTATTTGATAGCGCGTAAAAATTACAATGTTTACCTAACCTGACAATTCCGATCATTTCCGCTACCTTGACAGAGTGGTCAGGCTTACCTATCATGATAAATCAACAGTGTCATACATACTGGGACAATTGTTCCTCAAGGTCCAGAGAGGTCTGTTGAAGAGCGATAAGACTAAAAGTAGCAAACCAAAAGTCCAAGGGCGAAGTCATACCCTTGTTATTTGAAATATAATTTCGTTCCTGTTCAACCGTGTTCTGATTTGGGGACTTGTCGAGTGAATTGGTGTCCAAGAATACTAAGCAACATAAATAACTGGGTCGTAAATAAGAGAAATTATAACAATACCATAATATCATCTACTTTTCTAATTGAGAGAACAACTAAACAGTATGTCTGGCCAGTTTATACAAAAATGTGTGGCTCGAAGTTTCAATTCATGAGCCAACCGCTATTTATTGAACATTATTATTATTATTATTATTATTACAATAATATAATATCATGGTAACAAAAGCAAAACAAACTAAGAAATCCTACCAGAGGTTGTAAGTATCAAATCAACTTGTGTTAATTTTTTTACATCACAAGGTAAGTGAGCAATTTTTAAAGGACGTTGAGATGTATTATTGTCATTATCTGATCTATAATGAAAATAAAAACTTGGTCAAATTTTCTTTAATATACAACATGAACATATAAAAATGTAGAATTTACTTGATGTTATTCAAATACAATTGAATGAATTAAAATATAAATAAGTGAATAGAAAATATTCTATGCAATAAATTTAAATAATGTCCTACTACAATGATGAATTCAAATAAAACTGCAACATTTATGATTAGAATAAATATGGACAATTTTGAAGTGCATATGATAACCACGATCAGTCGCCGAAGACTTTGGGTGATATAGCTCATAATAGCAAAGATGCATTCACTCTTTATCTTCTTCTTGACCTTGAAATCCAGTATTCCTTCGTTAATACCTCCCCAATTTTTTTTCGAACCATATTCCTAATGTTCATTCTTTATGGTTATCCCTATTACCATATTATTTTGATCTTTTCTGCTATTCATCCTGTCATTCTAACGAAATTTATTCCTACGCCATATGTGGATCATGTCACCTTTTCCTATAGGTAATGTAACGTGAGAAAAGAAAACAAAGAGTCCTACTAACTAGGTGATCTACAAAACTAATATTTCTCAACCACTTATTAATTTAATCTGGTTGGCGTTTTTTTAGCAAGACATTCCTACTGTACGGAGAAGAAACGTAGAGAACTACTACTACAACCATCATCAAGTAGGTACAAATATTTATAAATAGTTGTCCACACAAGATACTCAATATACGTTGACCGGATACCATCAGGAACAGTGTACTGCAGGAGAGGACAAACCAAATTCCAAGTGAAGAGGAAATCAGGAAAAGACGCTGGAAGTGGATAGAACATACATTATGGAAATCATCAAACTGCATCATGAGGAAAGCGCTAACCTGGGATCCCAAAGGAAACAGAAAAGAGGAAGGTTAAAGAACACACTGTGTCGGGAATTGGAAACAGACAAGAAAACGATAAATAGCAACTGGAAAGGATTGGTCAGGACAGGGTTGGATGGAGAGTGCTGGTGGGCAACCTGTCCTCATCGACGAGGAGTAACAGGTGTAAATAAGTAAGATTATTAAATAATTATATATTTTTATTGAATATTTCGTAAGTAAGCATCCGATATTAATAAAGGGAAAACTAATTTCGCTAACAACCCATAACTTTCGATGTTAGTTCATTCAGAGAAAGAGGTTGCTGGTAATTATTTTCTATGAAGTTATTAGCCGATGATGGCATCGTATCATTCTGTATTATTTATCGATTATTTATCACTTTAGTCAAATTTATCAAATAATCGACCGCGACTTTATTGGAGTAGTTAAAAGTGTGATGAAAGGTGAATAACTTGCGCAAAAATATAACAACTAAGGTAGCAATGTACGATTATTTTTAGAAAAATATAGTCATAGAGAAAGAACCTACACATATTTAGCACACAAAGTTTTGAGAATTAAATTCGAATGGCTTTTGTCATTGTATTTGAATGATACTGAATATCGGGATGTGGTATTAGGATAAAAATAGTGGAAAAAACTAATTCCCTTTCTTCTCCATCGCATATCAATAATTAGTAGTTATTTATAACTTGTATAACTGATAAATCTTTTAAATAAATTAATAGATTTGTAATATCTCATTGTAAGCCATTGCCTCAGAGAATAAATAACCAAGTCAAAATTAATCCAAGTTTAAATAACACAAAGGAACAACGCAATAATATAATGTGCGATCAATCCAAAACAGGTCTGAACAAGTCAATGTCGTGTCATTTCAGTCAAGGTGATTTATAAGCGAACTAGATTTTATTACTGACGTTTTCATATATTTTCTTCTTTGACCTTTTCTAAATTTTTTGATTCGACGGTGTTTCGGTGAATTTAAATAATGTAATTCTAAATCTATCCATCTACCGAGAAGGTACATACTCAAATCGTTATATTGACTTAAATTTAGCACATTCATACAGTGCAAAGATCTCACTAGCCCTAAATCTTTTTAGAAGAGCTAACGAGATTATCATAATTGAAGACCATAAACAAAAAGAACAAAAGAATGTAATTAACATCTTAAAATTTAATAATTTTCATAGGAAAATTATTAGAAATGTATTAAAACGAGACGTTTCACTGCTTAATAATAATTCGAATGAAATACTATGGATTGGTACTGCAGTTTTACCATACCGTCATGGTACAACAGAAGAACTCCAAAGAATTTTAAAACAACACAGAAGTAAATTAAATTACAAAACAACGAACACACTTCGAAATACTTTAGTTTACTCAAAAGAAAAACTCCCATTTATGTCAACACAGAACTGAGTCTACAAATTAGGATCTGTCGATTGTGATGACTTCTACATTGGAGAGTAATCACGTGAAATCTTGACTTGAGCCAAAAAATATATTAGGTACATGAAGAAAACACCTAATAATCTCGTAGAGCTGTATAAACTTCAAATTAAATCGACAATAGCAGTTCATGCCATTTTTAACAACCACCAAATCGATTTCAAAAACACCAAAATATTACAAAAACGTTTTTCCAACTACAAAGAAAGGAGAGTAGCTGAAGCTTTCTATATAATGCTTAATCCTAATGCGCTCAATAGAAAAGAAGGCATCACTATACATCCGACTTGGACTATCTATCCTAGCTGTTATGTCTGATATTATTCATATTTCATATTATTATCCTACATACAAATTAAACTCTATCCTTTCTCACCACAAAGGTCACATTTTTTCATCCCTGATCATGCACACATACACACAAATTTACGTACATTCGCTTATAAATCACCTTGACTGAAATGACACGACACTGTTTTATGTGATACGGCAACCTATCCCGGACAAATGTCAAAAGGATTTGACCATCCTGACATGGGATCAAAACGCTAAGAACGAGTTACATAACACCAAGGAAAAAAGCACCATAGATGACATGGAATAGGAGAACGGAACAAGGATCGAGAGATTGCTGAATCTATGGCAAAAATTAATTCATGGATAACCTGTAAGCCACATTAGAGACAGTGAAAAACTTAACCAATTTACAAGTTTCATAACAGGGTTATCGATTAGTGTGAGTAGTAAGAATTAAGTCTTCAAATTAGAAATTGGAATAGGAATACAATCAGTGTTTTCACCAAGTACTGACACAAGAAGCACAATAATCAAACTAAATAATTCGTCAAAAGGTAAGTAAGAAGGTTTCATCAACAACACGCTGCACACAAAATTATGAACCACAGAAGTAAATTTAGAAAGACAAGATTCGGAATGAAGAAAATCCTTCATTCTCGACATTAAGCAGAGTTAAAACTAGTTAACACATTTATTATTATTTATTTGAACACATAGATGTTGGTAATAAGAAGCAACGAATTCATATGTCTACATAAGTGACTTGATCTGCGTGTGGGTTATAATACTGTCCGGGTGCTTAAACAGATGCAGGTAAAACCTCAATCTCCGTCAACCCGGTTAAAGCGCCGGACATTCGCTTTGTGTACTCTCAACTTAGTGATCAACAACCTCGTCACCGAGTAGTTCCCTGGCAGTGGCTGTAAACGCGAGCCATGTGAGAGCATTTGGAGAGGTGGAGCTCTCTTCTTAACCTTGGCCGCACCACGGCATTTCGGGGGTCACCATTAAGCCACCAACACTAAAGAAATACTTGCTGACATTTATAGTAGGCAGAAAATATCTCACACTTTTATAAGATTCATAGTTTCACATTCCCAATTGTAGATACCTATCTTTCCAAAATAAGAATACCATTCAAAATATTACTATGGAATTCACACCGAGATACTTTTAGAAACACACTTACTGAGATCCAAATACAGAAATCGAGTTAGCTAAGGAACTATCTGTTTTGGGTAGAACCCATACTACCCAGGTAGGAGCAGAAGGACTTGACGAGTCGATAGTTGATAGATTTTTATTAGCTATCAGTAATGCATTTGCCAGATGTATCGCAATACGATCTCGACCGTCAAATGAATCCAACAACAAAACACAATCTTGATCTCCTTTCGCTGAATTCTCCAAAAGCTTAGCCTATAATAACGAATATGACAAATGTAGCAATAACCTATTGATCATAAGAAATATGTAATGCAATAATTCGATCTCATAGACGTACAATGGAATTCATTTGACTGCCAAACTCTAGAAAATATAGTAGGAAACATAACTGCTAAAACTAAAGTACTCTTCAATAAAATAAATTTTCAAAACCCAATGGATCCTGCTATGTCTTTTCAAACTCTATACGAATTATTTTGGCCAAGCTAGACGTTTAAGCACGTGTCAACTCCCCATTCTGGTTGCTTGGAAATAATAGGTAACTGGAGTTCCGTTGAACTGATCGTTAGTGTTCTGTTCATCGTTATAATCTCTTGAACTGAGAGTAGATCATGGTTCTATCTTCTTCAATCTCACTAACTATTGATTTTTTATAAGCCGTTTTCTTGATGAGTCGGTATAGTTGTCCAGTATTACCTATCACAATTGTCTTTTCCATCTATCTTGCTTTCATTAGCGATTCCTCCTTACGATCATTAGTTTTCGTTTAATTTGTCTTCCCTCTTCATTTTTCTCGAAATCCGATGAATTCGTGCGCAGTCATTAATCAAGTAGGAGTTTCGTAAATCCAATCACCTTTCCTAATCTTTCGATTGTGACTGATATCATATCTGCATTTAAATCTGTTTGAGTATCGTTTCAAGCTTCTTTGAGATGAACCTTTTTCCTATAATCGACTAAATGCCTAGTTAATTTTCCCTTCACTCCATTATCAAACGTTTCGCTGGTGTTCAATCGCATAAATAGCAAGCACTCGAAAATGAACAATGTTTATATTTGGTAGAGTGCCATTCAGCAGAACTTTACTCATAATCAGGTGTAGAAATCCCGCTGCACATATCAGAAGTCTACACTGATCTAATGTGATTTGCTAGTTCACTTCACAGAAAGCAAAGCACTGTGTTAAAAAGGTTTTCTTCAAACGAAAACTTTCGGAAAGCTGTCTCGTAAATTATCATTTAACATTGGCACCCGCCAGTAATATAAAATCTCGTTTTTGTTTCGTGTCAGTGATTCGATCTCACCTTCACAAATAATCCTGACGCTAATCTTTTACGTAAATATCTGTAACTAATGTAAGGGATGTGTCGCGCGTACAGTACAAGTACAGACGACCTTTGTCAGTTTTCTAAACATTTTAGTATATGGTGAATTTCGAATAAATAGACTAGTAACTGATAATAGCGTAGTGCATCTCGCGTATCGATCAAACCATAATGATATTAACCTTGCTTGAAAATATCTCAAGCAAATAGACCACAAATCCGTAAGTGTTTGTGTTCGTAGAGAATTTAATGCAGAATTTGTCTAATTTTTCCTCGTAAATTTGGCTAGTGTCTCCATAGGTACCTTATGTGAAGGAACAAATACCGAAATGCATAAACGGTCTTTGAATACCTATCGATACTGTTGTTGTGTAAGAAAATCGATTATTAGAATGAAGTCACGCTCAGATTATTTATTTATTACCAATGCCCGCTTTTCTCATTTAACAGTTGGGTATGAGAGTGTTTTGTTGTGAAACGAAAAAGTGATTGGGATGTTGAGTTGTCAAAAGTTTTAGGACTTCGAATTGTGTTTCTATGCGATCGAATTATTGCATTACATATTTCTTATGATCAATAGGTTTTTGCTACATTTGTCATATTCGTTATTATATGCTAAGCTTTTGGAGAATTCAGCGAAAGGAGATCAAGATTGTGATTTGTTGTTGGGCTTGACGAGTCGATAGTTGATAGATTTTTATTAGCTATCAGTAATGCATTGCCAGATGTATCGCAATACGATCTCGACCGTCAAATGAATCCAACAACAAAACACAATCTTGATCTCCTTTCGCTGAATTCTCCAAAAGCTTAGCATATAATAACGAATATGACAAATGTAGCAAAAACCTATTGATCATAAGAAATATGTAATGCAATAATTCGATCGCATAGAAACACAATTCGAAGTCCTAAAACTTTTGACAACTCAACATCCCAATCACTTTTTCGTTTCACAACAAAACACTCTCATACCCAACTGTTAAATGAGAAAAGCGGGCATTGGTAATAAATAAATAATCTGAGCGTGACTTCATTCTAATAATCGATTTTCTTACACAACAACAGTATCGATAGGTATTCAAAGACCGTTTATGCATTTCGGTATTTGTTCCTTCACATAAGGTACCTATGGAGACACTAGCCAAATTTACGAGGAAAAATTAGACAAATTCTGCATTAAATTCTCTACGAACACAAACACTTACGGATTTGTGGTCTATTTGCTTGAGATATTTTCAAGCAAGGTTAATATCATTATGGTTTGATCGATACGCGAGATGCACTACGCTATTATCAGTTACTAGTCTATTTATTCGAAATTCACCATATACTAAAATGTTTAGAAAACTGACAAAGGTCGTCTGTACTTGTACTGTACGCGCGACACATCCCTTACATTAGTTACAGATATTTACGTAAAAGATTAGCGTCAGGATTATTTGTGAAGGTGAGATCGAATCACTGACACGAAACAAAAACGAGATTTTATATTACTGGCGGGTGCCAATGTTAAATGATAATTTACGAGACAGCTTTCCGAAAGTTTTCGTTTGAAGAAAACCTTTTTAACACAGTGCTTTGCTTTCTGTGAAGTGAACTAGCAAATCACATTAGATCAGTGTAGACTTCTGATATGTGCAGCGGGATTTCTACACCTGATTATGAGTAAAGTTCTGCTGAATGGCACTCTACCAAATATAAACATTGTTCATTTTCGAGTGCTTGCTATTTATGCGATTGAACACCAGCGAAACGTTTGATAATGGAGTGAAGGGAAAATTAACTAGGCATTTAGTCGATTATAGGAAAAAGGTTCATCTCAAAGAAGCTTGAAACGATACTCAAACAGATTTAAATGCAGATATGATATCAGTCACAATCGAAAGATTAGGAAAGGTGATTGGATTTACGAAACTCCTACTTGATTAATGACTGCGCACGAATTCATCGGATTTCGAGAAAAATGAAGAGGGAAGACAAATTAAACGAAAACTAATGATCGTAAGGAGGAATCGCTAATGAAAGCAAGATAGATGGAAAAGACAATTGTGATAGGTAATACTGGACAACTATACCGACTCATCAAGAAAACGGCTTATAAAAAATCAATAGTTAGTGAGATTGAAGAAGATAGAACCATGATCTACTCTCAGTTCAAGAGATTATAACGATGAACAGAACACTAACGATCAGTTCAACGGAACTCCAGTTACCTATTATTTCCAAGCAACCAGAATGGGGAGTTGACACGTGCTGCGACTTCTAATTAGGTCAAATGATATCCGTGTAGCTGTATATACGACAAGGACATCTATAAAGAGGTCAAATTTAAAGGTTAAAATAGATCAATGAATTTCGGCTGCGTTTTATGAATTGATAGAAAGTCGAAAATGTATCTTGTAGGACTTAGAAAACGATGAAGAGCGACGACTCACACGTATTGTAACAAAAGGTGTATGATCTTCAGCAATGGTGGGCACTCAATGTGAAAGATGGAAAAGGCATCGGTGATAGGTAGCAATAAATAGCTTAATCGACTAATCAAGGAAACAGGCATTAAATACACTTGTTAGGTTCTAGACAATCTATAAGGAGGGATAGCAGTGGATTCAAATAGATAAACACTACATTTTTAATCCATCTGTTTCAGTTCAGATGAAAGAACTAAAATCGCCTTGTGATAATGAGAGGAAGTGTGGCCTATGTAGTGTCAACAATACTAAGATCTACAACCATTCGACGCAAATCCGGTAAAACCAGTTTGGTTCCATGCCAGGTCATGGATGCATTGACCAAATATTCACTCTTCGTTATGTCTTAGAACATACTCATACTTACCGACGCTTGATATTTAGGTAGCTTTTGACTCGGTTTTCAGGTTTTGTGGTCTTGTTTGTGATTGAAAAGTGTATTAAAGAAGGATATAAGTCTTGTGGAGATTATTTACCAAAACATTATCAGTTAAGTTAGAACTTAAGACAAACTGTCAATCTCAAGTGCAGTTCATTAGTGACTGCCCACTATCTCCATTTTTATTTAACTTCGTAATTGATGTCCTTCGAAAACTAAAACAATCCTGGCACTATCAAGTGAGTAATTTCAAGGTTAGGCATAGGACACTAGGCAAAGGTGGCAAATCAGTTGACAAGGTGAACTTTTATCAATTGAGGTGGTTACGACATGCATCATCTAAGCCGATCCACCGATTAACTTGAAAGGTCTTTTTTGATTTAGGAGTAGGTTGGAAGAAAGTTGGGAGCTATCAGATCTTGACTGGAATTGATCCATAAAGTCACTGATTGTTGGTCTAACCCATGATGGTAAATGAAAGCAACTTGGCCGGGGGCCATGCAATAACTGCGATCAGTGGCTGGAAACTTTGGGTGACATGACTTATAATCGTTCACAGTGGCAAAGATGTACTTACTCTTTATCTTTCCATCGATATTAAATTTCAGTACACCTTCAAAGATACCTCTCTACTATGCCTTTTTGGACCGTTTTCTCAATGGTTAGTCCTTTTCATTGTCAGTTCTACTTTATTACAGTCTCATTTCTCATACACCTTGCTAATTTCATCGCTTTCTGCTAATGTGGTATGGCGACATGGGCCAGCGAACAACTATGCCAAGCTCCACGTTGATAATGTACGACAGACTGTCATATCTTCATTTGAGTGCCACTAAACCTGCTACTTATTTCCGTGAGAGCCAGTACAGTATATGGGAGAACGTAGTAATTACACAAGCCCAACGGATATTTAATCGCTCTGTTTTGCAAAGACTCACTATATGATCGACCACTTTACAGTCTCTGGCTAGTACCGTACGCCCAACCCAAGAACTAACTGATAGCTGAATGGTTGCACGTACTACACAGATAATATTACTCAATGCATTTAGAAACTGAAATTTGAAGTGTTCAACCAAAATTTCTTTGAATTTAATATTCGTATAGTCTTGTAAGTAAACATACCACAGTAAATTAACTCACCTCAGCAGATGTGAACTTGATTGATCCATATACGGGTACTAAGACCTCTCGACAAGATCGTTTAAATTTACGTAGGTGAGAGTTGTCTACACGTGGACTTGATGATACTGATTTTTCTCTTAACTTGCGAACATTCAGTTGATGCTCTTCTGACTCCAAATGTTTCAGTTTCATTGAACTGAATATTACAAATTGACAAATATTGCACTGATAAAAAACAGAAGTTGAGCTTTCGTCACTTGATGGTGACATCTAAAATACATTGAGAAACTGCATACTGTGAAAGATATCCATTAAAAATTAGGAATATTATTGGTGTGAATAATTTTTCAGAAAAAAAACGCTGTTTAGTGAATGATGCAGATAGAAGTAAATAGGTGACAAAGCATCCAAATATATGAACAAACTTTAGTGGTCTTACATATGACTCCAGTTAGATCGTATGCTGATTACTACCGAAATATGTATCCAGCGACCCGCGTATACAGTGATCGCGTTAGTGAATAACGGAATTATATAAGTCAAATACGAGGATAGATTTTGAATGCATATACTTTATAAAACCGTTGATCCAGATAGACGACCAGAGAAACGAAGCGAAGAGAAAAGAGCGGAACGAAACGAGATGACTCGCAGTGAGCCAGCTCCATTTTATAAAGCTTTACTCAATATTTATATTCAGACAAAAATTAATTACAGACAAGTAATGAATAGGATAAGTAATTAACACACATACGACCATATCAAAACAGTCATGGTTGGTAAGTGAATAATTGACAAGCTCAAAATGTGGCTTGAGATGAATGAATAAATTCGCCTATCCAGAAGCTAAAATAACCTATGTGGGTTTGATAAAGTACAGTAACTAGAAAACAGAGTGCTGATAGCGAAACAGATAAGATAAAGAGCGAACACGCTAGCTAACAAAAATAAGCAAGCTTTTCAACCAGAGTACAGAGCGACAGTGATATTAAGATTTATTAACTTAGTCACATTAATGCCGACTAATACGCGGTGGATTTATTTGCTGAAGTGCCGTGAACTAGTTATTACCAATATTTTTCATTTATTTGAACACAAATATTGGTACAAAGGGGAACCGAACACATATGCACCACACAAGTCATCAGTCAGCTACAATGTAGCACCAGGCACATATATGCATCGGTACAAGTTACCATACCTCCTTAACACAATAAGATGAACACCAAATTCATAGAAGTAGTTAATTCAGAGGTGCTAATATATAAAAGAAAGATTGCAATAAGGATATAGTACAGCAAGAAAGAATTAGTTCGTAGAAAGAAAGATATGAAGCGACTTTAATCTCATAGTTCAAGGGAAGACAGAAAGTGTATACACATACGCCATTGTGATCGATTCTGAGTCATGTCACCAAGAGTCTCCAATCATTGGTTACGAGTCACGCAGACCCAACCAAGTAGTCTGCATCTACCAACATGGCTCAGACTAGATGTTAGTGACTTCAAGCACTGAGGCCACGTTTTGGTTTGGCCGCCCTTAATTTTCTTCCAACCATCCCGAACGCCGGTTAGCATTGCACGTCGTGGTAATCGGTGTTCAGGCATACGTAACACGTGACCCAACCATCTCAGTCGATAAAGATTCATAACCTCATTAACTGATTTACCATCATTCCCTAATACCCTGCGTCTAACCTCACTATTACTTACCCGGTGATCCCAGCAGATGCCAGCAATATTTCTAAGGCATCTGTGATCAAGTACTTGTAACTTACGAATATCTTCTACTCTTAATGGGCACGTTTCGCTGCCGTAAATTAAAACAGAACGGACTGCCGCGCAGTATACTCATTCTTTTATTTATAGACGGATATCTCGCCTTTTCCATAGGTGACGTAAGTTGGCAAAAGCCAAACGAGCTATTCGAATCCGTGCTGAGATTTCGTCCGATACCAACTGTTAGCGGGACATAGACCGGATTAAAGCATGCTCAATGCATGATTGCTTTGGTGCACGCTGATTGGCTAATTCTTAACCAATCAGCACTAGTCGATAGTTGGAGAACACTCTAGAATCTTCTCATGTAGGATACTATAAATATACTGACGTTTTTCTCTATTGTGCTTCTGACTTCCATCTAACCTTGTTATTTGGAATATAATCTCTTCCTGTTCAACCGTGTTTTGATTTGGGGACTTGTCGAGTGAATCGGTGTCCGAGAATACTAAGCAATAGGAATAGCCGGGTCATAACCGTAAGAAAAGCGATTTATAACAGTGGCGACGGGGAAAAAGGAAAACAAATTCAAGATGCCTATATCAGATGACCAGCTTAACCGAATACTACAACAACAGCAAGCACAACTTGATGCACAAATGCGGTTGTTGGAGACTCTGACTCGACAGTTCAACATCCACAGTTCGAGTTCACACGCTATTTCAAGTTCGTCTTGTGATGCAGTTGCTAGCAGCATCCCAGAATTCGTCTATGATCCCGAAAATGGAAATACTTTTCTCACGTGGTTCAGACGTTGGGAAGATACATTTAGAACAGAATTCTGTAATCAAGACGATGCGTGGAAGACCCGATTGTTGGTACGTAAGTTGGGAAGCAACGAACATGCACGTTTCGCTGACCATATTTTGCCAAAGTTACCTCGAGAGCTCAGTTTCGAGGAGACGGTATTTCAGCTGTCAGAGATATTCGGCGAGTCATCCTCGTTGTTTAGTATTCGATATCGGTGTCTAAATTTGGTGAAACGCGAAGCTGATGAATATGGTGTTCTAGCAGACATTGTCAACAGAGAATGTGAACGTTTCAAGTTGCGCTCGTTGACTGATGACCAATTTAAATGCTTAATATTCATCAAAGCTCTTCAGTCACCACAAGACGCTGAGATCAGGACTAGACTTTTGGCTCGACTGGACCAAGATCCAAACGTCACACTCAGAACATTGACAGATGAGTGTAAGCGTCTACAAAGCATCAGACACGACAACGAGTTGATTGAACAGGTAAATCCTAATTTAACCTGCGGTAGTGTAAATACTATTACTAGGTTAAAAGTTCAGAAGCCGGTAACAACTCGTAACAAACCAAGGACTGCATGCTGGTTATGCGGTGATTGGCATTATGCACGATTCTGTCCGTTCAAGAAGCATAAATGTCAGGAGTGCAACAAACGTGGACATAAAGAAGGTCATTGTCCACCGAAGCGTACGTCTCAGCCTAAGAAGAAGCATAAACGTCCTCGACATGTGAAATCAGCCGAGTCCAAATCTCTTTCTTTGGTAGCTGCCTTTCAAACAAACTATGACATTCAGAGAAAGTATGTTACTATCCAGATAAACGGCATATCAGCTCGTCTTCAAATTGACACGGCATCAGATATCACGTTAGTGTCTAGAGAAACATATAACTTGCTGGGTAAACCGCCAATGAAGCCATCTAAGAAAACGGCTAAAAACGCATCAGGTGGTGTGCTAAAACTGGTTGGTGAATTACAGTGTGAATTTTCCTTCAATGGAACTAACTGTACAGGAATATGTTACCTAACAGAACGGCCGAACCTTGATCTTCTTGGTCTAGATATGTTAGACAAACTTGGAATAATGGATGTACCAATTAACAGTGTCTGTAACGTATCGTGTTCATCATTGAACAGCTCAGTACTTCCAAAGAAGACAGGTGAAAGGTTACTAGAAAAACTGAAAAGAAAGTTTGCCTCTGTTTTTCAGAATAGCCTTGGCCACTGTACCAAGATGAAAGCGCATTTACCAGTAAAACCAGATGCCATACCTATTTTTCGCCCGAGACGTCCTGTACCATATGCTGCTCTTGAGCTAGTCGACCAGGAACTTAATCGCTTGCAGCAGGCTGGTGTAATCCGACCAGTTAACTACTCTGCATGGGCCGCACCGATTGTAGTGATTAAGAAGGCCAATGGGACTATACGCATATGTGCCGATTTCTCGACCGGTTTAAATGCTGCGTTAGATGTATATCAATATCCATTACCAGTTCCTGAAGACCTGTTTGCCAAGCTTAATGGTGGGACATGCTTCGCGAAAATAGACTTCTCTGATGCTTATCTCCAAGTGGAAGTAGATGAAGATAGTAGAGAGCTTCTGACTATTAACACTCATCGAGGGTTATTTCAATACACTCGTCTACCATTTGGCATCAAGACCGCACCCGCCATCTTTCAGCAAATAATGGATACGATGCTAACAGGTATACCTGGTACAGCAGCTTACCTAGATGATATCATAGTTATGGGTTCAACTGATAGTGAACTTTCTGATCGACTACACCAAGTCCTTAACCGAGTGTTGGAGTATGGTTTCCAACTACGTGAGGAAAAATGTATCTTTTTCATGCATTCGATCAAATACCTTGGTTTTATCTTAGATAAGAACGGTCGCCGACCAGATCCTGCCAACATCGAAGCCATTCAGAAGATGCCTGCACCAACTGATGTTTCTTCATTAAGATCCTTCTTGGGGTTAATCAGTCATTACAGCACATTCTTGCCTGAAATGCATCGAGTGAGAGGTCCCCTAAATGAATTACTATCGAAAGATAAACCTTGGCAGTGGTCAGCAGAATGTCAAGCATCTTTTGACAGAGTCAAATCAATGCTCAGCTCAAAGATTCTTTTGACGCACTTCGATCCCAGCTTGGAAATTGTTGTTGCATCTGATGCCTCAAGTCATGGAGTTGGAGCAGTGATATCTCACGTGTTTCCGGATAAATCAGAAAAGACAATTGCCCATGCTGCTAGATCACTTACTCCAGCCGAGCGAAACTACAGCCAAATTGAAAAGGAAGCTCTTGCAATCATTTTCGCAGTCAAAAGATTTCATAAAATGCTCTATGGTCGTACATTTACTCTACTGACAGATCACAAACCTTTGATTGCAATCTTTGGTTCTAAGAAAGGAATCCCTGTCTATACGGCTAATAGACTACAGCGCTGGGCAACAATGCTCCTGAGTTATGATTTTAATATCAAGTATCAGTCGACAAATACTATCGGTCAAGCTGACGCTCTCTCCCGATTAATTGGAGTTCAACATCCTGGACCAGAGGATATAATCATCGCCTCCACAACAGTAGATCCAGAAATACGAAGTATAGTGGCAGATGCCATTCGAAACACTCCAGTGTCGTCAGATGAAGTCAGGGAAGAAACGCTTCGAGACCCAACACTACAAGAAGTTAGAAAGTTCCACCTAGAAGGGTGGCCCTCGAAAATCAGTTCCACAG